GTTAGTCAGAGTATTTTTAGTAATATAATATTTCAACTAAAATAATTTCAGGTATGTAAAAAACTGGTAATTGAATAGTCATACGATTCATTGAGTTATTGTCAAATAAAATTAAGAATTACAATTATAAATAGATTTTAAAAGTCGGCCAAAAAGTTATTTATAGAATATAACTATTTTTACCGTAGGTATATTAGGATATTTGTAACACTATTTTTGCATAGATAATGTTATATGTTGTATTTTACTTAAGTAACGTAAAGTTTGCGTTTTTATTTGTATTTTACAAATTAAATAATAAATTTTGGTTAAACTAAAAATATACTTTTGAAACATACATTTGAAACATATGTATTTAGCTATTTGAAGCACTTTCAACCTTGATGTATAAAAGCGTTTTATAAAGTCTATTGAGCTAAATGCTCAAATATATTTATCTAAAAAATAATTATAGATGAAACCACAAAAATTATATAGTATATATATATATATGCACTGCCGAGCACAAAATTAGGGTCACTTCGAAATTCGCATTAAAATTAACATTTTATTGTTTATTCAAGTTTTATTTAGCTGAAACACAAATTATTTACTTTATACAATTATTTTGTAAGGATTAATCAAATAAAATGACACTTATGTTCTTGCTCCAAAATTTATTAAAAAAAAATTAATTTCAGAACATTATTTTACTTTCATTTAGTAACGGGTGTTTCCTCCTCTAGCACGGATAACAGCTTGCATACGACGGGGCATGCTTTGTATCAGGTTTTGAACTTCCTGTGGAAGATTGTCCCATTCCTGCGTCAGTATTTGGCGAAGCTCTCTGGAATTTCTTGGAGCCGGAACATTTCTCCGTAACCGTCTTTTTATCTCATCCCAAACATGTTCGATAGGATTTAAATCTGGACTTCGAGGCCAGACAAATCGTATGATTCGAACCTCATCAAGATATGCGGTTACCAAGCGAGCGGTGTGGGGTCGTGCATTATCATGCATGCATAAAAGTTGCGTTATCTCCCAGAATGACCATAAACGGCATTACATGGTCTTCTATAACCTCTGTTAGGTATCTCTGCGCAGTAAGACTTCCATTCTCGATGAAGACTAACTCTGTACGAGTTTCATAGGAAATTCCTCCCCATGCCATAACTGAGCCTCCGCCAAATGGAAGCCGCTCGACAATACACGCCTGTGCATATCTCTCACCTTGTCTTCGCCACACTCTCACACGTCTGTCTGAGCCCGTCAGACAAAATCGAGATTCATCTGAGAACAATACCTGACTCCAATCCTCTACTGTCCAATGCAAGTGTTCTCGTGCAAAATTCAACCTCGCAATCCGGTGTTCACGAGAAAGCGGAGGTCCTGTAGCTCTAACACGAGAAGATAATCTCGCAGCATGAAGTCTTCTCCTGATGGTCCACACACTAATATTTACATTTCTCACTTCTTGCAGATGACTTCGAAGGGAAACTGCCGTAGCGGTACGGTTTCTTAAAGCAGAGGAGACGATAAAGCGGTCATCTCTAGCTGTTGTAGCCCTTTGTGGTCCTGATCCAGGTCTTCGAGTGAGCAGACCGGTCTCTTCATACCGCTGAAGCACTCGTTGCACACTGGAGAGACTAACACCGTAGTTTCTAGCAGTTTCGCGCTGTCCGCGGCCCTCTTGTATAGCCGCAACAATTTGTGCCGCAAGTACGGGATTTATAGGCATTTTTGTTCAAACACGATGAAAACACAATGATATTAATCAAACAGTGCACTGCAATGTGAAGTAGAGGAAAAAAAGTGCAAAAACAAGAAATTAAAAACAGTGGATATTCAGGGTTTTTATACAAAGTTACTTTTTTCTGTAGAATGCGCATTAAAACAAATTTGAATAGAAACCATCTTAAGCTGAAAAACTGTCCCAATGCATTTGCTTACACAAATTTTGAAGATTTTTTAAGTGACCCCAATTTTATGCTCGGCAGTGTATAGGTATATATACGAGGTGTGTTCAGAAAATATCGGGAATTTTCGTTTTTTGAAACAAATATTTATTTATTCGTCTACATTAATGTTATCGCCTTCAAAATAGTCCACATTGGATATTATGCACATGTGCCAGCTCTTCTTCCAATTCTCGAAACACTTCTAAAACTCGATCTTTGGGATAGCCTTTGGTTCTTTCAGCAATGCGCTTTTAATGTCATCTATGCTTGCAAAACGACGGCCCTTTAAGGTTCTCTTTATTTTTGGGAATAGGAAAAACTCAGGCAGAGATATGTCTGGCGAATATGGAGGCTGGGGCATCATTACAGTATTGTTTTTGGCAAAAATTTTGTTCAAAATTTAACAATTCTATAACAAATTTTGCTGCCACGCGTTTCATACCCAAAACATTCGAAACAATTTCATGGGATGAGCCAATCGATATCCAACATCATCAGCGACTTCTCTGATGGTTTATAACCATTTCTTCCACTTTTTCCATGTTTTTATCGGTTGTTAATGTGCTTGGGCGTCCGGGGTGTTCGTCATCTTCAACGCCTTTACGGCCATCTTGGAAACTCTTATACCACTTGTAAACTCTTTTTTTACTTATAGCAGACTCACTAAAGGCCTTTGTTAACATTTCACAGAATTTATTTAATTATTTAAGCAAAATTGGATACAAATTCTTTGATCCATTTCTTTTAACGAACGAAAAATCGCCGAGCTCATAAAACACGTCTAACCTTAGCGGCTGCCACAGACAAAGTAAACAATGAAAACAGCTAAAGTTTTTATCATACTTCGGGGGCATGTATACCAACATAATAAAGAAAATTTTATGACCCTCCGAACCCGCAAAATTTAACAATTCCCGTTATTTTCTGAACACACCTTGTATTTAACTTGAACCTTTAAAAAATCTCAGTAAATAGGCATTTTACAGAAAATAATTTAAAATAAAAATGAAATTAATCGAGGGGGGGAATAAATTAGTACCAAAATTATTCCCCATACTCTCAAACTATTTTGTATTGCAGCTTCAGATCATTCCATTAAAAACAGGTAGATTTTGTCTAAAAACATGTTTTTATATTTGTAAAAGAAGGTAATAAAAAAATTATATATATTTTTACTATAAAATACTTCTTGTTATTATTAATATTACAAATTTAGCTCAAAACAATATTATTAAAGTAGGTGCTCAAAATGGTGGCGTTTGACTTCAATGCACTTATTAATTCGGATTTTAAATAAGTAGGTAGCGTATCTGCTGGAATTTCGGCACAAGCATTTCTAATTTGCTCAATCATATTTTCACGGGTTTTTGATAGTGAAAAGAAACCCGGTGAAGTAAGATTAGGTGATCTAGGAGGCCAACTTGCCGGACCAGCTCTACCAATCTAGCGACCATTAAAATTGCGATCAAGTACTTCACGTGCTAACACCGAATATTGTGCTGGGAAACCATCATGTTGAAACCACATGTTCTGTCGTACTTCCAAGATTAAGTATTAAGTAATGTGGGCAGTTTATTTTCCAAAATATATCGATGCATTTCGCCATTTAAGTTCCCTTTAATGATGTAGGGACCGATAAGTTTGTTGCCAACCATTCCACACCACACGTTGACAGTACAAGCACAGTGTTGTTCTTATGTGGTACAAGGACGCTCAACTTAACGTTCAACTTAACGAGCCAACGCGGATTTTCAATACTCCAGTAATGCATGTTGTGCCGATTTACCGTTCCGTGGTTCGTAAAAGACGACTCGTCGAAGAACAATACAAAATGCAAAAAAATTGGATTGCCACTGACAAAAAATTACCAGATTTTGAAAATCCAAACCATTAAGCTTTTGATGTAAGAAAATATAGTGGGATGGTATTTATTTCGCTTTAATATTCTGATAACACTGCTCTGGGATATTCCGGAATCGCGAGATAATTCTCGTGTGCATGAGCATTAGCAGCAAAGGCTGCTAAAACATTAATTTTATTATTTTCACCGGTGACTGTTGCTTGCGAACTCGTTTTTTTTTGTTGAACATTTTCGTTTGTATACTATAGTAAATTACTTGAATGTACGTCAAAATGAAGCACCCGAACGAATTTTTCCCGGAAAACGCTGAGCGTAGATATTAACAGCATCTTCAAGATTTCTGCCTGCTTCTCCATAAATCAAAACCATTTCTATTTTTTCTTACACTGTTAAAAAATCTATTATAAATACCTAACTGCTCAACGAAACCGGTCTTTTTGTTTGCAAATTAATCTTTAAACTAAATAAAATTTATTTTAATTATTTCTAAAGGTTATTTCGTTTTTTTGCACCCTAGGAAAAAAGTAGCTAAGTGCGCCTTGGAGCCATTTTTAATTTTTTTAAATTTTAGTTAAAAGAATAATAAAAATAAAATGATGTATGAGTTTTAAAAAATAAAGCTATTATGAATTAAATTAAAATTATTTAATACAAATTAATTAATACTTACCTACCTGTTATATAATACAATAACATTTACCAATATTTTATTTTTTGGGTATATTAACAGTGAATGTAATAAAAAACTGAAAATTTTCAAAAGAAATTCACCATATTAAAGACGATAGGCTAAACATTTTATTTAAAAAGTTTTTCAATAGGTTTGGCAGTAGGTAAGTATTAAAAAAAAAATAATGAAGATAAATAGTATCTACCTACATATTATAGGTAGACCTATGTACATATATCTATAGATACTATTTTTTTCATTATTAGTTTTTAAATAATTTTAATTGTTTTAATAAAAGTTAATTTACCTATTTAGCCAAAAATACATAGGTATACCTTATAAGTAGGTACCTGTTATTATATGTATATAATAAATTTAATATTTTATTATTTATATGGGTAAGTAGTTATATAGTTATAAGCATTTATTATATTTATTTATTACACTTCTAAGTAAAATACCTTATATTTTATATTAAATTGTTTATAAATATTTGTAGGTTATGTTATTATAAACAAACATATGTACATACCCCAACTTTTCGGAGTTCGTCCTAAAACTTGCTTAGTTGATGGGTCATACAATGCTCTTTGAAATTTTTGCCATTTCGTCGAATCATCTCGTTGATGAAATTGAAATCCTACCACACCATTATCGTTATCTTTTACCATGTTGAGACAACTAAACAAAATAAACAAATGCGCGGACTATAATGAACCCGACCCACAACACTCCTGCTCTCACGATACGAACTGAATCGCGCTCGCGATACACCATAGGTTTTTCGATGCGATACACAAACTTCGGTATTTTGGTTATGAATCGAAAACTCGTCAGATCCGCGCATTATGTTTGTGTATCGTTAACGCGCCCACAGGGGGATGGGTTATTTTGTTTTTGTCTGTGAACGCACCGTTATTTAATTCAAAATTATGTTCGCTATCTAATTATCTTTGAAGAGGAGCATTCCAGTGTTGCCAGAGGAGGTACATTTGTGCTTATTTGTTACATTTTTAACCTCCAGGTACAAAAGTACATCAAGGACTGTTTTGGTACATTTTCAAAATATTTAGTAAAATATTCTTTAAAAAATAATTTAAATAAATAAAAATGTTTTTAAATTTTAAAAGGACGCTGTCAAAAGTCAAAATAATTTATACATGTTAGCTTACTGGCATCTAATAATCTGCCGGGTAGCAGTCTTACCAAGGATACCCCAGGTAGCATACTGACGTCTGCTGACGTTTAAATGACGTCTTCTGACGTCATTTCAACGTCATTTAAACGTCAGTAGACGTCAGTGTGCTACCTGGGACTGTACTAAATGCATGTATTTGGTGGCTAGTAAAGTGTTTTAAAGCAAAACCTGTGTATAATTTGTTATTTAATAGACCAAATTATAATAAAGCTAACATCAGAAGTGGGATATCTCCTAGTGAAGTATTCGCGAAAGTGGTAATAGTGATTTAATGGACAATAAAATTATGTTGATGATAAAAATGCAGCAAGAAAACAATACAAATTTTCAAAATCAAGTAATGCAAATATTGTCTACTATGGCCAACGCCCAGGCCACCCAAGCTCAAGCAGCGCTTCAGTCGAGCTCGATAAGTACGCAGGCGCGATCTATTGTTACTGTTGCTGTCGCTTAACTAGTTTTGATCCAGATGATACAACGTTTAGCATGGTGGAATGGATGGGTGACGTAACCAGAATTCAACGCGAGCTTAGCATTTCCGATACTGTGATTGTTTTGAAAGCAGGTCACACACTTCGTGGACGAGCTGCTCGATTTTATAAGCATTGGAAGCCTATTGTTAGGGACTGGACTTCTTTTCGTAAAGACTTTGAGGTAGCAGGTAGTATTTCCTGAAAAAGGTGTCCTTGCATGTTTGGCAATTAACAGTTCAAACTTTGACACTTTAGTAGAGTATGGAAAAGCAAAACTTATTTCTTTTAAGCAGTTTTATCCCGATTTTTCTTGGAATATAGTTCTTAGTCTTGTTGAGTACGATATTCGAAATATTGAAGTGAAAATAGGGTATCTCCTACATGTGATTCTGAATTGTTAAAGCAGTTTGTGATACGAACCAGACAATACGGTACGTGAACGTTACTGAAAGCGAGCGAATGACTTTCGTGATAAACATCCTGGAAATGGAAATGTAAATGTTATCGTTATGGTCATAAACAAAAAGATTGTAAACAAGAGGAAAGGAGCAGTATAAATACATCCGATCAAAATCTACCAGGAACTTCTAATGGGAATCGAAAAATCTGTACGTTTTGCCAAAAGAAAGGTCACACTTTATATTAGATATTTGTTATCGTAAATATGGAGTGCCAAAGCGAGTAATGCTCACTCAAAATACCCGTTTTGTACGCTCATTTCCGTCAGCCAAAATTACAAACAACAATACAATTACGTCTATATTATATTTAGTTGACACAGGAGCTGATGACTCAATATTGCATAAAAGAGTGGCAAAAAAGATAAATTTGAAGATAGAACCAGAGAGCCAATTTATATCTGGAATGGGAAACTGTATAATGAAGCCCGTAGGTCACAGCATCGCTTTAATGTTTACTCCAACAATGACTTTGGAAATTAAGTTTCTGGTTGTGCCAGATGGATCTATACCTGGAGACGACATTGACGCCTTAATTGGTCTTGATGTACTCAAACGACCAGGCATTAAAATAGAACTATATGCAAATAGTGCAGATATTTCATACGACCCCCTAAGCAGGCCTCGAATTTATACAATACACACATTTAACGAAGCGGAAATTAATCTGTCAGGATTGAACGATCAATTAAGTGACGAAATAAAAACAAATCTTATAAATGGAATAAACCAAACACCAGCCACTGTTACAACTGGCCTGTTAAAAATACCACTACGTGATCTAGAAACGGTTTCCTATAAACCACGTCATCTATCATAAGGCGAAAGAGTGCAAGTTAAGCAAATTATTAAAGAACAGCTATATACGGGAATAATTCGGCCAAGTGAATCGCTTACGCTAGCCCAATAGTACTTGTTAAGAAATCAAACGGAAATACAAGGTTATGTGTAGATTTTCGTCAAGTAAACAAGAAGGTTTTACGGAATAATTACCCCTTACCCCGCATACAAGACCAGATTGATTCACTTAGTATATTACTGCCTTTGTGACACCAGATGTGACACCAGACGAATACAATTGAATGCCATTTGGTGTTGTGAACTCTCCTTCATGTTATCAAAGTGCCATTGACAAAGCTCTTGAAGCGTTAAAAGACAATATTGACGATATATTGTGTCCTTCATAGACCATAGGTGAAGGTCTTCTGAATTTACGGAAAATTATTGACACACTTTCAAAGTCAGGATTTGTACTTAACTTAACAAAGTGTAAGTTTTTAAGACATCTGTGAAATATTTGGGTGTTGTAATTGAAAGTGGTACTGTAAAGCCAAGTCCTCGAAAAGTGAACGCTCTTGCACAGACTGTTGCTCCTACCAACGTAAAAGGTGTGCGGCAGCTCCTGGGACTCTCTGGATATTTTCGACGATTTGTAAAAAACTTTGCTACTAAAACAGCACCCATTGCAACATTGTTGCGAAAAGGACAACCCTTTGTGTGGACAAATGAATGCGAAAATATTCGTTTGGAGTTAGTGAAACGACTAACTGAATATCCAATTTTAAACATTTTTGATATGAACCTAGATACAGAATTGCATACGGACGCGAGTTCAATTGGTTGATGCAAAAAGATGCAATCCATATTTTGCATCCCGTGGCTTATTATAGTAGACGCACAACTGTAGTGAATCCCGTTACCACTCGTATGATCTAGAGACTCTTGCAATCGTAGAAGCCACACAATACTTTCGCACCTAACTGTACGGTATAAAATTTACGATTTATACTGCAATTCTGTGCGTGCGACAGCCTTGAAAAAGGAACTAAACCCACGTGTTGCAAGATGGTGGATTAAGCTGCAGGACTTTAATTTTGAAATTGAGTACCGACCGGGACATAAAATGGCGCATGTTGATTACCTTAGCCGCAATGCTCCTCCGTTAAAACAAATTTTGGTAACAAGAGGTGCTGTTTCTAATACCAAAAACATAACAATTATAGACTATCAACAAGGAGATTTATTTCGCCAGTCTATAATAAACAAAACACACACAGAACCTGGATACAAGGTGCGAGACGGCATCGTATTTTTCCAAACATCAAATGATGAAATTTGTCGTTGTTTTGTGCCGATATCAGCAAGACTCGATGTTATGAGATTGTATCATGATGACTCATCTCATATTGGTGCTGATAAAATGTTATTAAACATGGTATGTGTCAGAAAAAACCTAATCCGACAGAAAAATTGGATACATGACATATAGACCATGCTGGACCGCTTGTAAAGTCTAACAGATGCACACAAATATTGGTGATAATAGACTCATTTACAAAATATGTGCGTGAGTAAATCGATGCAGTCCAGTGTAAGCCTCGAGTTGACCCTTTCTAAGTAAAGAGCCCGGAGTGCCGCTTGACTTTCGCTACATAATATGCATATATGTAGATATGTTTACCCGAGTAGCCTCTCTGGAGATTCTCTTGGGCGCATATCAGGATGGCAAAGATTTCAGTCTGGTATACCGTTGGGTATCGACCTAGTGCAAGGCTTATTCTTGCCCCAGGTCGTCTGTGTACCAGATGAGCCCTTTCGGTTTGAGGGAGCCTGGGTCAGGCTCTCTCCAGTCGTTACTGGAAGGGAAAACCACTTTATATCTTTTGAGGGGGGTAGACGTCTTTATCATTGCATCCCGGGTCCCGGTTGATAGTCTCAGTCCAGGCCCTTGCATGCCCTGAGTTTTCCCCCCCGTGAGCCCACTGTCCCCAATCGTTGAGTCTAACCGAGGCCTCCCGAGCCCGTGCTTCCACAAGGAGATGTGGAGGCGCCAGTCCCAGTATGGCCTCTGTTGCCAATGGGAGTGGTTCTAAAAGCTCCAATTATGCCCATGCAGGCAAATCGTTAAAGCTTGTCCATCTTCTTCCTGTAGGTGGGCTTGCCCAACGCATTCCACCAAACAAGGCTGCTGTATGAGACCATTGGCCTTATGATTGTTGTGTAAACCAAGTGCACTATGTGGGGTTGTAAGCCCCCAGGTGTGTCCCTTGGTCCTTCTGCATGCCCATAGGCTATAGGTGGCCCTCTGGACAACCCTGTTAACATGTTCCTTCCAGGTCAACCTGGAGTCAATGATGACTCCCAGATACTTGTCTAATTTGGATAGGGTCAGTCTTCATCCAAAGAGCGTGGGCCCTTCAAGGTTCACGTTTCTTCGGTTGGTGAATGGTACTACTTCTGTCTTATCTGGATTGACGGATACTCCGTGATCATTGCACCACCTTTCGACCTTATTAAGAGTTCTTTGCATGATCTCTTTAATAGTGTTTGGTACCGGAAGAGTACGTACTCTTCCGGCTACGACAATGACGAGGTCGTCCGCGTAGCCTTGAGTGTATATACCTTCCTGCTTTAGGATACGAAGTAGCCCATCCAGCACTAGGCACCACAGCAAGGGTGATAGTACTCCTGCGGGCAGCTTCTGGCTACGGTTGAGCTGATCTCCGTAGTTCCAATCGAGCTTGTAATGATCCTGCTTTCCAGCATAACACGGATCCATTTGACAATGGTATTCTCTATGCCAAAGCCCTCTGCAGCTCTATTTATCGACGAAGGAGGTGTTGTTGAAAGCTCCTTCAATATCTAGAAACGCGCCCAGAGCCATCTCTTTAGGACTCTCTCCAGTCTTATCACAAGGCTGTGAAGAGCGGTCTCCGTCGACATGGCTGTCCTGTAGGCGTGTTGATTAGGATGCATGGGCATTCTTTTTAGTGCCCCGTCCCTAATAAATTTGTCCACCAGATTCTCCATAGTTTTTAAAAGAAACGAGGATAGACTGATGGGTCTATACTCCTTTGCCGTCTCATAGTTACAACGTCCTGACTTGGGGATAAACACCACTCGAACCTTTCGCCAGGAGTGTGGCACGTAGCCCCGTGCCAGGCAGGCTCTAAAGAGGCCTATCAAGTGCGGGGTCAGTGGTTCTAGTCCCTTTTGTAAAAGATCCAAATGAGTGGATGGCCCACATTATGGAGCTTCCATTTAGTTGGCCTTACAGCTGGTGGAGCTTGCCTTGGTGGTTCAACAGTTTGCAGGATTTTTGAGCCCGGAAAGTGAGTTTTCAGGAGCCATTTAAGTGCCTCCTCCGCGGTGGTGCTATAGTCACCGGAGGGAAGCCTTAATGTCCCCAGCACTCGTCCTGGATCCTTTGAGAAAATCTTTTGAAGCTTGCTACTGCTGGAAGCTCGTCTACGTTACCGTAGAACGTCCTCCAAGATTTCCTCTTAGAACTTCTTATGAGTTTTATGTTTTGGGCAAATATCAGGATTAATAAAGATATATTCACCTTTAAGTTTGTAAGCGTTTGTTGGTGTTAATTGTTTTTTTTAATAAAATATATTCAATTAAAATTGGGGCTGTAAAGCTGTTTCTAGGTCCAACTTTGTAAGAATCGTTTATATCTGTTAAAGTTACCTATATCAATGTTCAATTTTGTTTGGAAAAAACTTATAAGGCGTAAAACAAGGTCTTAGTTTTTCTTAATTTTTAAATATTTTTATTATAATTTAAATATTAAAAACATTAAAAAACTAAAATAAAAAATAAATTAAATTAAAATCTACGTAGGTATTTACATAAATTTCTTAAGAAGGATTATTTTTAAACAGGAAAAATGGCAGACCAGTTCTTGATATAGGCAATATTTTTTAAAGTTATATACTTGTTTCTTAAAAGACCTTGTTAAAATCTTCAAGAAACAAAGACGTTTTCTCAAAGTCGCTACTACTACCAAATTTAAATTAAACTGGCAGTAAACAATGTCTGAAAAGAATTAAACCGGCCCTTTGGGTGTGGTTCGACCATATATATAAACAACATTGTAAAATAAAATATGTAGTTTGCGACTGTATTCAAAGAAGAGCATCATGAATTGTTTAATTATCTTTGCTTCTCTATTAGGTGTTGCTGTCTCAAAGCCAAATGATGTAGTAAACACCATGGTGGTCCCTGTAGCGGAAGTTCTGGGACCCGTTGCAAGCCAGTACCATGCCCAGGATGGTTTGGGACAGTACACCTATGGATATTCAAATCCTTTATCGTCCAAAAACGAAATAAAGACAGTTGATGGTGTTACTAGGGGTGAATATTCTTACGTTGATCCTGAGGGAAAATTACAATCCGTTGAGTATATCGCCGATGCCGTGCAGGGATTTAGGTAAGAAATCAGCCATTAAACAAATAATTAAGTAAATTTATCAAAATTTACCCTGAAACTCTTAACATTTTTTTTTTGCGGTTTTATAATGTTTGCTTTTGTCATTTAAGCACTTTTTAAAAATGTTTTATATTTTAATAATATAATTGATTTCATGTTTTAAAAAGAGGTTGTAAAAAACTAGGTAGGATCCTTTTAGAAATCCAAGAAGACGACCCCCCAAAAAAATAAAATTTTTGTCAACACAAGATAATAATAAAAAAATCAGCTTAACTATATTGTATATCCATTTAAGCAAAAACCCTAGAAAATAAAACAACAAATGTTTTAATTGTTAAAATGATTTCGATGGGGAATGCGCATTAGTATTTGATATTTATTTTATTTTTTAAGGATGGCGTTGGACTCTTAAGGGAGCCAAGAATCAGATTTCTTGACAAAAGCAATTATTATTAACGCGCCTTAGGACCTAATGAGTTTTTGATAAAATGGATATACTTGGAAAAATAATTGCATTTGTTAAAAAAACTGATTCCTGGGTCCCACGCCGTCCCACAGTGGTCTCACACACCCAATTGGCCCAAACTATAAAAATGTGACGGAAAATTCAAAATTAAAAAAAAAATGGCCGAACGAATTTGACAAAAATTAGTGCTGGTAGGTTTACATTTGACATTAAAGTTACCGAAAACAAAATAGCCAACTCTTGGCCATTTTAGCCGTTTTAGTCAAAATTTTTATTACCTAATAAACAATAATTTCGCAAAAATAAGTTTTTACTTTTAAAGCATTCATTTTTTTTATGAAATAAAACTATATTTTATAACAATATAAGCTGAATTATATTATGTTTCTAAAAGTAAATTTTTATAACCTTTACAGGCTGTCCCGAAAACTGCGCACTAAGTTAGTTTAGTTTTCACTCTTACAACGATGCAAAGTTTTTTTAAAGAGTAGCAAGTACAATTATATTAGGTAGTAATCTCAAATGACGACATAATCCAATCACGACAAAAAAATCTCTGCCAAACAACGCCTATTTTTTATAAGCCTATCTATAGATAGACTAGACTGAAAAAAATTATTACATTTAAATGTAAAGTTACAGGATTATTACCACATAAATTCCTCATTTTTACGACAAATTGTAAAATTACCTTTATTTTCGTCTAATTTTTATATATTTCAAGTAAATAAACATTTTTGTTTGTAAAATTACTAATGTTATGTATTAATTATTGATACAACAAGTAAATTTAACGAACTAAATGTAAAAAATACAATTATAACTTCTTACTGCATTATTTCAAATGTAAATATACTTTATTAGTCTTAATATTACAGGTTTAAATGTTTTTTTTACATTCGGAGTGTAGTAAAAATCGCAAAATTACATTTAATATGTAACCGGAGAAGAAGCCTATTGGCTGGGAATCGGCATGTTAATGTTATCATGTAAAAATACATTTCATATAAAAAACATATTACATTAAAAATGTTATTTTACATAAAAAATATAAATGAGTTACACGTCAATTATGCTAATACATTTTGCATGTAAAATAATAATGAAATGGAATATTTCAGTTATCAACAAGGCATCAAAATAACCAATCTCCATTACCGGAAATTTACATGATTTTTTTCAGTGTAAATCTCGGAATTTAAATTTTTAAAAACAAATACAACCTTTTCATATTTAAATAAAATTTAAAAACAATGATTTACTGAAACTTCAGATTTAAAAAACTTGCGTTTTTTAAATCTGCCACATCTTTAAACTTTGCCTACGCTTGACAACTTTCTCATGTAAGTTAGGGCACTATATAAACTACAACTTGTCGAAACTTTTGTTTCGTTAAAGGTATGGCAAATAAAAATTGAAGTGAAGAATGTTGAGCTATGGAGTATTTATTTTTAATATATTCACATCAAATTGTGTTTATTAAGAATTAAGAATGTATTTCTAGAAACCATAGTGCGTCCTTAAATATTTTAAGAAAATCAAGACCTAAGGCTTAGGTTGTCCTTTATAAATAAAAAATGCCATAATTTTATTGAAAACTATTTTTTTGTTTCCAGAGTGGCTGCCAGTAATCTTCCAATATCACCAAAATTACCTGTCATTCAAGCTCCGTTAATGCCAATTCCGGTTTCTGATACACCAGAAGTAGCTGAATCTAAGGCTAAACATCTTGCAGCATTAGAAGAGGCTAAGGTAAATTTTACGACAGATTAAGAATTTAAATTATTTCAGGGAAGGCACTTATTTTAGATTGTTAAAATACAGGGTTTTTCAAAATTTGATGACTGAATAGGCCGAATACCGGTTTATTTTGTTATTGTTCTTCTACATCGATTTTTCAGCAAGTAGAGCCTTAAAACGCATTTGCATGCATGATGCATTAATTCTGGAAAAACAAAAATAATAATTTCAAATTCAACATGTTTATTACATTTTATTTGTTTGTTTGTTTTAGATCAAAATTGCCAACGCTGAAGTTAAATTAAAGGCCAATAACAACGAAGTTTTAGGGGATATTTCCAGTAGAATAACGAACGCAGCACCTCTTATTCAAACATATAGATATAGTATAAACCCAATTTACGGAATTTACCCACACAATTATGCCCATTTGATGTTACCATTATATAAAGAAAATCCCCAAATTACTCCCTATATAGCTTATCCAGTTTCCAGTTATCAAGGCAATTATATCATTGGTCATTCGACCATCGTCGAAAATCAACTAAGACCAGCATTACCTATGGCTCCAACTGATCTTCTGGAGGTGGTGAAAGCCAAAAATGAACATTTTGCTGCCATTAAAAAAATTAAAACGTAATAATTAAAACAAGTATGCAATAAAATATTTTACTATCAAATATGAATTTTATTATAAGTGTACTTTATTTTATTGAACATCCCTAGTTTATAAGAGCACTTTCAATGTGTATATTTTTATCAAAATTCTTATTAAAAACTACATTTAGAGCAAAAATATTTAAAACAATACATAATTGACAAAATACAACATAAACCTGTACTTAAAAATCATAAATACAACAAAACAATTAATTAAACAACTAAAAGTATATACATCAATTTAAATTATCACTAACAAAATAAATTACATTGGAATAATATAAATATAATTATTATAGATAAATCCCAAATTTTACTATTTTTACTGCTAATGAACAAATACCTTATTATAATTTTACAACGGAATGATTTTGTTATAGTCAGACTTTCTTAATTTAATGTTTATTTAATTTTTAAAAGGTTAAAAACTTTTTCTAATTATTGCCAATTATATGTGTAAAAATGTCTTTCCCTACAAACTGACCAATTGACAAGGTTCGAAAATCTCATGATATTTGAATAATTATCAAAATATCAGATATATATCCCATATATACATAATTATTTATTTTTTATGGTCAAAAAATTAGTAAATCAACCAGAATAAAAATGGTTTTTAATAAATTTATTTAAAAACAACTTAAAATCCACAAAAATAACAAAAAAAGTTTTAATTTTAATAAAAAAATGATGATTTAATCAAAAAAATTTAATTTTTGGTTTTTGAACTTTTTAAGAACGGCAAACTACCCCCGCCCTTAATAAATATCATGATATTTATTGGCGATATTATTGTTTTTAGTTATCTAAAAAGAATAAGATAAAATATTTAAGGCCGTTTACACCGACAAATACTTAGCTAAGTATCACTTAAACTGTAAAAGTTTAGCTTAGGTAAAAATGTTACTTAGGATTAAGTGCTGGTCGTTCTGAGATTAAAGTGTGAGATTGAATTGAAACCATTAGTTGGTGCAAACGGGACAACAACTTATACTTAATTTATTATAATTTTAAGGCAATAATTTCTTACAGTACTTTTTAAAATAGCTCGATTATGAGTATTATCTGTATAAATAGTGGAAGTGATGAATAGTATAATTTTTGATATGAATAAATGTATGAAATATTTTAAACAACATTTTAATCAATTAACAATTCAAAGTGTACAGATCCCATTCTATCTTGTCTGTTGTACTTGATATTTTTAGCCCAGGCTCTGCACTCCACATTTATTACAATTCCAGCTAAAACATATTAAGAAATAAATAATATTAAGAAATAAATAATATTTTCATGAAAAATGTATCCAATAACACTGACCGGCACAATTTAACTATAATTTTTTGAAGATTTTTAACGCACTGAATTTGAATCCGACCTTAAGAATTGTACATTACTTCAGGTTAAAAAAAAAGCCATATTTAGTTTATATTACATTACAAGGTAATTTTTACATAAAAAGTGGCATCTAATATTACTAGTAGTAATTTACTATTTTTTCTCCTTGACTTGAATTCTATCCGAAAAATCCTTTATTTTAATTTAATGGCCGTCCATAAATCTCGAAACGAAAAAGGGTCAAAATTGACCTTTAAAAATCTAATGCAAAATCTCCATTTCTGTCGGCATGTGCATTTATTGAATGGATATTAACACTTGTCGACAAAATGAAACTTTGTGTCTGCGTTTGGGTGAACTTTTAAGGATAATTTGCCTGCGCTGATTTCAAAAATGACCATCATTACTCAATTAGCTCTTGTTTTCAATATATTATAAAAAATCGTTTTTTTCAAAAAGCAAACCATGGAGCCTACACAAGGAGTCCGAACTTAATAGGAGAAATTCACTAAACATGCCCACTAAATTGAACAAATTAGGTCTTGTTTTTTCACCACCAGCGGCGCTGATTGTCGATGCATACTGACTGCAGTTTTTGTAGCGTTTCGGTACAATCAAACAATTAACAGATGTTATTTTTGTTGAGAAAAATAGAACATAGTTTTTGCTTTTACTTAGTTTTGTACTTAATAATAAATAATAAATTTATGTTCTTTTTTTAAACAAATCCTAGTAGAAATAAAACGTTAAAAGGATTATTAACAATCAAAGAAATATATTTGCCCACTTTTAGGTGTTAAATCAATAAACAAAATTTGCTAAAAAAACAGTTTGTAGATTAAGTTTCTGTTCTTACTTTTTTCTTCTTTAAATGTACAAGAATTTTGAAAATGACCCATATGTTTGTTTAATCAAATGTTTTAACCAAGGATCATTAATGCAGCTAAAATTCCTAATTAAACTGAAAAAAAATTAATAATACACATTCATAAATTATTTGTATTTATACAAGTTTTAAACACATACTTCCACTGTACCTAGGTATGTGGTTTTTAAAACAAAAATCAATGACAATGTTTAACAAAATGTTTAAAAAAATAAAAACGTTACTACTAAAATAAATGTCAAAAAAATGGCAAACATGATTTAAAGAAAAAATAATGTTTTTTCAGAAATAATTTAAGTAGTTGTACAAACGCCAGAAGCGAAAATGATGAGAGTCATTTTGGTAATTTTTATTTGTTTACGTTGAAATTTTAACACAATTACATTAAGCTACAAATTTCATTAAAATCGAACTAAAATTGTTCACAGCACTTTGAACTTGAAAATTTTATTTCGTTAAAAATAGGATTTTTAAGCGAGTTACTTTATGAATGTTTATAATGATTTTTTTTTAGTTTAATAAAGACTTATAGCTATATTAAAAAACAGTTTTTGATTAGCAATATGATGCTCATTTTTAAAATCAGCGCACCCAAATAACCCTAAAAAAGTTGCTGGTCACCCAAAGGCAAAATGGCTGTTGACACATAATGTCACGCGATTTTTTCATTTTCCATTTTCGAACCACGAACCCTTTTAAGTCATGTCACTTTTTTTTACCACCGATTTTAATAATAGATATTATACTGTCACCGGACCAAGCGAAAACTTAAAACAAAATTTCCTTTACCCTTTTTTTTCGAATATGCAAAATTGCAGAAGTTATTTCATTTTCAAAGCCACCAATAAGAGCTCAGTGTTTCTGCTCTATCGCCGATAGACTATCGGTAAAGTTTTTGTTATATTTTTTGTGTTTGCAAAATACGCTTATATTCTATCAATGGGGAAAAAGTAAAGAAAACCAAATTCGGTGCGTTTTGTCGCAAGCGCTGAGTCAAAAGGCGGGGTTCGCCCTATAGATTGGAAGCACTGCGCTCTCATTCACTGTTCAAAATTTTAGCTAATTTTTACCTAAAATATTAGACTATATAGGACCATTGATTTTTTAAGGCAAACTGCTTAAAATGAATTCAGAGGAATATTCCCCTTTTAAATTAGTGAATTCTTTAACTGATATTTTTAAAGAAAATGATACAATTAATTAAGCAAAATTACTTAGGTTTCAAAGATAATACACCTTAGATCGTAAGGGATATTGCCTGAAAATAAAAGAATAAATTTCCTGTTTCTAAGGCAATTTGCTTAAATTTTTAGGTAGATTTTAGCTTAGTTTTCAGGCAAATTATATATATTTTTAGTGAAAATCCTAGCAGAGGAATTTTCTTCCAAGTTAGGACTCCTTTATCTTTGTGTCCTATAGGCGGATTAAAAACTGCGGTTCCGGTACTACATGTAGTACCGGAACCCTTTAAATAATCCCAACCCTGCAGGGTTGGGATTATTTAAAAATAAATTGGGGTCAATGGGAAATTCCATTTAGTTTGGATTACTTAACTATAGCACTACAAAATGTTCACTTATATCACAATAATTGTTAACTATGTTGTTATATCAATAGCACACAATGCGGTCTTTAAGCTTTCGTTGATTTTGGCATTATGGTGGACAATATAGGCGCGAATATTTATCTTAAAACGTCGGCATTAGCGATCGTAGCCTATTGCAAGTAAGTCACTAATATTTAAAGGAATTTACCTAAATTATTTCAATAATTTGCCATAATAATTTAGAAGAATTACCTGAATTAAAAGCAAAATTGTCGTATCTAAAAGTAATTAAGATTTTGACTAAATATTTAGGTAATCTGCCTATCTTTTTAAATTTGACAAGTTTATTAAGTAAAGTATGAATATTTATCTAGAAGTTAGTGAATACACCATAGAACTAAGGCATTCGTTTCTGCCTAATAAACGAGAAGGTAAATTGCTTTACTCGTTTAAGCATATTACCTTATTTTTCCTTAACTAATTCTGATTAGGTATTTCAAAAGGCTTGATTTTGAACAGTGTTGGCGGCCTTAAAAATTAAATAACTTTTGCAATTTTGCGAATTATAAAAAATGATAAAGAAAGATTCGTCTTGAAATTTTAAAAGAAATTAACCTTTACCCTTATAATGCTACCAATTTTGGGACATCCCCATTTGCGAATTCGAAAAAATGCTAAGCAAAATGTCATCTTAAATTTTCTCAAGGAATCGACCACTTTCGTTTGGTCCGGTATTATCCCCGTATTATATTTATCGAAATAAAAAAATCGCTTGTCATTGACTCAAAAAAAATATTTTATATTGAGTTAATTAAAACTCGCTGGCAAAATTTTGCGTCAAATAATCCTCCCTTTGCGTCCCTTCTCCCTAAATATGTTCATTTAATTTAAATCAGCGTTTTTCATTTTACGTTGTTGTAAACTAAAATCTTATTTAGAAAAGAAAAAATCATGCAACATTGTTGTGTACCGGACGAAACTCTTGCAAGTTGATGACACAGAATCTATGTATTTTACCTGGATAACTAGGTACATACAATGATGAATTTTAAACCGCTCATCTTTATGGCCCACCCAAACAATAAATAGGTTTGGGGAATTTTTAGTCATACGACATTTTCATTGTCAAAACGCACATCTCCCCCTATGTAACACTTCGTCACAATGTGTCCACGGACCCTGACGCGGTATAAATACTTACACACTGGTCTTTCGAACTTGATGGCTACAAGTGGACTAAGATAACCTTCTGAATTTAAATATGGAAAATAGTAGCCAGGGAATCCTTGTAAACCCTTGGGATAGTATGTCTTTTTTCCTAAATATTCCTTATCAGCTGGATTTTCTCCCTCACATGATATCCAAATATTTTGACGCTAAAATGTTACATAAGTTATATTTATTAAATTACTGTTATGCTTTTAAACAATGGGTAAACCAAAACTACTTTTTAAAGTTTAATACATGTCTGGGTTATTCTATTAAATAATACGTGGAAAAATGTGGATTTTAACGATAATCGGCGCCGATTGCTAATTAAGATAAAAAATAGTTATTTGAATTGTTTATGAAATTTCACAGTGTTTAAAGAATTTTAGTTACGACAAGGTAGCAGAACTGTAGATATTATGTACTATGCTCCACACCCAAATGGTCTCCCAGAGTTATTTTTAGCAACTTTCAGTTCTCATACGTGTTTGGTGGATCCGAATTTTCACCCCGGCTGGTAAATCTCTTAGGAGGTCGTGGATGACAGTTGCGATGGTTAAGGCCCCTTCCAGAATTTTGTCGCCGGGTCGGGTTATACGCCCGATTCAGGCTAGTGGAGGGCGGGAAAGGAGGAAAAACATTTTGGGTTTTGGGGGACATTGGATTGACTCAAAACTAAGTACAATCCGTAATCCCCCTAAACCATGGATTTAGTAATCCCCCATTTAATTGGGGTTTGGGTGGTTAGTTCGCTGCTTGGACCTATCCTTGATGGTCTTAAAGTACTATCTGTTCGTTTGCGTCCGGGCCTGCTGAAAATTACTGAACTGAAAAGCACTGCAGTTTGCAATTGTTTGGCCCACTGTGCGAAACCGTTTCGGTAGTCGGCAATGTGACTACCGATAGTTTTTTTGTTAATAACGTATTATGCGAAAATTATCTTTAAGGAAAGTTAGTATATACAAATTATTTGTCCCACTGTGTTTAAGCCTTGGCTTTATTTCAGTAAAGTATTAAAATAGTGGTGTGTTGGCATGTTTATTGTTGATGTCTAGGTGACTGCATTTGACTTTTAGTTTATGTTAACGTCTAGTGCGTATCACGGCTGTTTCTTCAGTTTTGGTTTTGTACCGATTTATATTACGTAATTACGTTTGCTGTCCTGTGGGGTTTTTTTTCTTGATTGGCTGTATTGTTTTTCTGGTTTAGATGCGTTGAATAGGCTTAACCTCTTCTCGAAAATGCAACATTACTTAAGGAATTCCTTAGTAGAGAATGCAAGTTAAATCATGCAGATTAAAGCTATTAAACTTATCTTTGGTTCCTTCGGGAGACTGGTACATTGAGTTCACCTGTACAGGTGATTAAATACATTTTCACTTGTTGTATTGTACTGCACTAATGTATTAGCGCTTTGCTAATTCTGTTAGACATCGGGAGACATGTAGTGGCCCTGGGCTCTATGCGCACTGTATACACTTAAAATTGCCTAACAAATTTAATTAAACTATGGCCGATTTATTATTACTGATAGGCTTTTATTACTTTCTTACTCTTTCGAAGCGGTCGCTTGCGCGTCTGCATTTTATGATGTCTCATGACGTTATATGTAATTGATTAAAAATGTACTTCTATGTAATTAGTGAATAAAAATGTACTTCCATGTAATGAAAAAACATTAATATAAATTTACAGTTTTTTAAAATGTATCTCCAAAAAATTTGCTAAGACGCTTTTGGAAATTGCCAATTATGGTCTCGCATCGTAATTTTATCTCTTGTGCATCTCAGACCCCTTTAAGCATGTCTACGGTAAAACATTTTCCTTTAATATTGACCACACTTAATAGTCGAAAGAAATCAAGAAGAGTTGGTACTTACAGGAAACAACTCTTTAGAAACCCTAGCGTTGATTTGGCAAAATGTAACGAAGCCCAGTCTTGTTGATTAATAAATCCGTCTTGACCAAAGTATTGCAAGGTTTGGGCCTCCAAAGGCCTATCTGGAAAGGTGGTAGCATTAATTTTTTTACTAACAGTCTACAAAAACCTATTGAGTTTTGCCAGTTGCATAGATTCCAGCCCAGACATCACAGAAGCTGGAAAATTTTGATATTCCTTAGCAGTTGACGAGAATTTTGGCGATTGTGAAATGGTCCAACCCTAGAAATCTTCTTTTCCGTGAAATAACCTATCTTTTGCTACATTTGGGGTGCAGGGTGCAGGGCTATGACCAGTTGTACGCCTTGTTTCGTAGTTAACACCCACCTAAACCCTTATTTTTCGTGTGTTTCTTATAGGTATTAAACAATATTAACGCCGTTTTTATTAGGGACAATTCACTGCAGTTCTGTAAACAAAACTTGCTTAAACGTTAAGTTTAGTGCACGTTTACTACCACTAAATGTATTAAACTACATTTAGTCGCTAAATCATATAAATTGCATTAAAACCTTTAACTAACCTATAATCGTTGAGTGATCAATGCTATAATAAAACATATTTCAAAAGTCAAATCTGAAAAATTTTCACAAACTTGATAATTTCAATGTAAGTTACAGCCCCAATTGGAACTCACCAAGGTCCGATTGATAAAATAAATGGAATTATTTGTTAATGGGGGTAAACGTGGGTACAATGTGCCTACGAATTCTTGAAAACCATTCCTCCAACTAGTGTGAAGTCCGAAAGATATCGTTCGTTAGTTTGTTTGTTCCTTTATTTTAAGTTGGTTTTAAAATTAATGATATACCTACCTATATTTTTTCGGGACTGATCCTTTGGTTTCGAAAGGCCAGGGATTGGAAAAAGGGCTCGGGATCTCTCTATAAGGATATAAGGATGAGAGTATGGGGAATAGTTTTGGCACTATTGTATTTTATCCCTCGAATCATTTAATTTTTAATTTAAAAATGGTTTCGTAACCTGCCAAAACTTTAAAGTTCGAAAAAAGTAATTTTTTGATGCAGTTTGTTTCTTTAATCTACGATAATAAATATTAATAATAATTAAAGAAAAGACATACATTTTCTTTATCAAATCTGAAATTAATCGCATTGTCGGTAAAAAAAGAACGTCCAATATATCGATTTTTACAGAATTTACAAAACCTGGTGTCATTTTGCCAAGGAATAAACTCCTAACCATGCTTTCTGTATTAATTTCGAGATTAATTTTAAAAGCCTATCAAAACACGTTAATCTACATTAAGTTTTATATTTATCAAACTCAACAAAGTTATATTGTTAAATGATTTGTTAAATAAACCTATTTTTCGATTACTTACATCTCTTGTATTGTTAATGGATCTGATGTGGTCCTTTAGAGAGTTAGGCATATCATTTGGTAGGTTGTTGGGATCGTCATAGTATTCTGGAGTCCAACCGTAAATTTTATTAAGTTTTAAGAAGATGCAAGGAGAATTTTTATGGTACATATAAAATTGATCCCTGTTACAATCTCCCCAATCTCTTACATCAACTTCACACACTTCTCCTTGTTGAGGATAATCTGACTGAGTACATGTTTTTATCTGTCCGTTACCTTTGGCTATTTTACTTGGTACATAATATTCTAAAAAAATATTAAATGAAATATTAAAAATTGAAAATATTTTACAATAATTACTTACTGTCTAAAAACTTATTTAAATTGTCAACCCATTTTAGATAATTGTTTCTGTTCGATCCTTGGAACCAAATTAAGGTACTTTCTTCATTATCTGTTGGCATAGGTCTGAAACCCAATCCTGGATTTGTACCTATGATGGATCTATCTAATTGCCATTTTGGAATACGAGGATCCAATGTTTGGAAAAATACCCACATACATATTGCTACTAAGGCCGCAAGTAAACCATAGAAAACCAAGTAGAATGTGCCGATTTTGGCTAAAATAAAAATTAAACAATTAATAAAAAAATAAATAAATAAAAAATATATTTTTAAATAAATGAAACAATGGCAACATGTCCATCTCATTTTATTATTCCCTACTTATACCTATGTGTAAAAATACCTACATAGAATTTAACAGGCTTCGACTAAAGAAATATAACTCAGGTACCTAAATATGTATGAATTAATACCTAATATGAATTAATACTTGTATATTATACAGTGTGACCCATTTGTTTACGACTCACCCCTGTAAATTCTTTATTTATTGTGCGATTTTAACCGGACTTGTTTTAAAGTGTAGATCTTGATAAACTGTATTTTTAGAGCCTTATTTGTACAAAATACAAGGCCTACTATGTCAGTTTTTAAGAGTACATTTTTAAGAATTCAACATGGTTCTATTACTATAAGTTTATGTTATGTTTTTTAATGAATAACTTTACATAATAAATTTTTGTAGGTATTATTGCGCATTTTTCCACTTAAAATTTTTTAATAAAATTTGGTATAGGGTCGTTTTGAGGGGTGGTGAATTTGTTTAAAAAAATCCCTAATATGAATTCTTAAAAATTTACTCTTAAAAACTTAAATAGTCGGCCTTGTATTTTGTAAAAATATGGCGTTTTTTTGCTCCAAAAATACAGTTTATCAAGATCTACACTTTAAAACAAATCCGGTTAAAATAGCACAATAAATAAAGATTTTACAGAGGTGACTCGCAAACAAATGGGTCACACTGTATATATGTATATATAAATATATACAGGATGTCTTAGATTTTAATCGGGGAAATTTAATACTCAATAGGTATAATACGCAAAAATAAGAAAAGTTTATTTTAACTTAATAAAAATAAATATAGTCACGCCACTGAATTTTTATGAGTTTGATACTATATTTTGATTAATCAATTAAAACTTTTTTGTCTCTGGAATTTTTTTTCTTGCTTAATTTACAAAAAAAATATCGTTTATCCGCTCGTGACCGATAAACAAAAACAGAAAAGTTATATTTTTAATTGCTTAAACTAAAAATAATATTAAACTTATAAAAAAGCAATAGCGCCGCCTCTGGAACTAAATTAAATTTAATTACAATAAATTAAGCCCTTTGCCCAATAGGTATATTAATACCTTAAAATTTTTTATTAAATTCGGCCAAAAGTTTTTGAAATTTTTTAAAAAATAAATATTTTTTTAATAACTTTAACATCCTGTATCTTTAAAACACAAGTTCATATAAACTTTTTTTTCTTTTAATAACTACTAAATTTTCCAGATTAAAATCTTGGACAGGACACCCTGTGTATACAGGGTGTCCTAAAAATACTGTGCAATACAAGCGGTTTTAGGGCCAAAAATAGAAAGAAAACTTTATATAAACATGCGTCGGCAAATTCCGGGTATTTCCAAAACGGTTTGAGATATAATAATGTATTTTTGGGACACATGTATTTTTTATTAATATTTCTGGTCAAATTTATTCAATTGAAAAAGAAAAAAGATGTATTTTTGTTGTTTGACTTTTATTTGAAAAATACTCTAGGCCGCCCCTGTTTAATATAATTCTAAATAAAAAATTAAATTTGATTTTAATTTATATATTCAGCATAAAAAGTTAAGTAACCATACACAATTTTATTATTTTTTCTTAAACAGTTTCGAAAATATTAATAAAAAACATCTCTGGGGGCTGTAGCTTCGTTAGGAGACATTTACCGACCTATGTGTATTAAAAAAACTTTAAAAGCTCTTGCTCTTTGTATACGGAAACAAACCAAATAAGAAACATAAGGTTAAAATAATTTAAAAATTTGGTTATTTACTTTTTAAAATGATGTCTTATTAATTAAATGAGCCTACATTTGTTATAATGAACCAACATATTTATTTCTCTTTTAATCTATCTTATGTTGAACTTTATAAAATAAAAAGCTCATTACAAAAAAGTACTAATTTATTTATATTAGTACCTAGGAAAATCCCTGGAACAATTAAATTGAAATTATGAGTCACAGGTAGATGCATCTACATATATGTATATATGTATATAATATATTATATAATATATAATATATTATATATATGTATATATGTATATAATATATTATGTATACCACACCCGAAATTAATAAAACAATAATTGCATTTATTTATTAATAAATAAAATCATATTGTGCTAAATATATATTATAGATATATTATACAAATAAACACAATATAATAATATTATTTATTTAATTCAAGTACTATGTAATAAGAAATAAGAATCAGTTTATAAAATTGAGAATGTAAACAAACCCCAACTGGACGGTGTTCTAGATAAATATGTTCCCTTTTCTTTATTGTAAATAAGGTTTTTATAATAATCCTTTGACGATGGATAGGGGTTTTTTAAAGTCATTATTTTAACTATAAACACACACAAACTAAGTTAGGTTAAAATGTTCATAAACACAACAACGCTACACACTACAAATACGTTGCAAAGGTAGGCGAGGCTTCTACCTCTTTGCATTGTTGCCGAGTGTCTACTACATTTTGCATGAAGTTGATGTCCACCACTAACGTTGCATTCCAAACACAGAACAAACTTGCTTTCAAACCTATTTATTAGCCTACGGCTGTATAAGTTGTCAACGTTGGCAACTATGTAGTTATGACTAGTAATCCAACAGCTTTATAGAAAGAGTAGGGCCCGTTAACTCTAAATATCTTTTAAACAAATTAATTTAAGTAAAAATAATTAATACCTATAGGTAATTTATTTATCAGAATTGCTACCATAGTACCTATAATAATTATTGTAGGTGGGTTAGGGTGTCCCAAAAAAAAAATATATTTTTTTTTCTTGTCTCTTGTAAAAATATGTTAGTTTATCATGCTGTAAGAGCCCTTTCAAAATATCAACTCGATTAAAAATTTTGTAGGGGTCGCTCAAGATTTTTAAAAATTTTCAAAATCAACAAAAATTGAATTTTTGTTTTATTTTAATTCTTTTTCTCGTCTCGATATTATTTTTTAGGTTGAAAATAATAAAAGTTCTGTAAATTTCAAATCAATATTTTGATTTCTAAAGGTCGCTAAAAGTTCGTTGATATTTATATTCAAAGGTCGCTTGAAAACATTCAAAATACTCTACTTTGAAAGTTAAAAAAATCTTGAGCGACCTTTAGAAATTAAAATATCGATTTGAAATTTTCAGAATCATTATTATTCTGATAAATGAGTCTACTTAACCAAATAATTTAAACATCCACATTTATTTAAACATTTTCAGTGAAATCATTTTGAAAACATTGGTATAGGTAGGTACCATAGTACCAAAAATATTTAAATATTTTTGTTTTGTTCATTCATAAAAAAAAGATATTTTATTATAATAAAGGTTTTATTGTGTGAAATAATAATAATAATAATAATAACAATAATAATAATGATAATAAAAATAAAAATAAGGTTTTTAGCCGGTAAAAGTCCGGCAATACCCATGTACCCAAGCGCGGATCCAAGGGAGGGGTCTTATTATTGTATTCTTTAAGTCAACGACCTAAAAAATAAATAGGGTAAAAAAATAATAATGTTTTGTTAAACTCAACCCACGGTACGTGACCCCCAAACGAAATTTCTGGATCCGCCCCTGCATGTTCCTGTCTATTTATTTTTCTCTTAAAAAGTTGACAATGACATAAGCAGTTGAAGCAAAAAAACTAGTAAAAAAATAATATTTATAATAAAATCCCATGATAAATTTGAATCTTAGAAATAAAATATACACGAAAAGTCAATATATTGTATTGTCAATTATTTTTTATTAATGAATAACCCGTAACTATACTAAAAAATAATATAAAATAATAAAATAAAATAACCCGTAACTACACCTACTAAAAAAATAATATTTATGTATAATAAAATCCCATGATAATTTTTAATCTTAGAAATAAAAAAAATACACGAAAAGTCAATATATTGGATTGTCAATTATTTTTTATTAATGAATAACCATAATAATTTCCGAAAATAAAAAAAATTAAATGAGACTTCTTGTATATTTTCTCATATTTTAAAAGACAATATAATTTGGAAGAAAAAATTATTAACATAATTACCCTTTAGGGTATACTTAAAAATTAATTATTTAATAAAAATGCTATTAATTGTTTATTTTTAGGTTTAGGGTAGTTATGCAATAATAATTTTTTATTTCAAATTAAATTGTCTTTCAAAATATGTAAAAATATATTCATTTAATTTTTTTTTACTTTTGTGAATATTTCGGAAACGCGATTTTTAATTGTTTTTTTGTTTTCGCAATTTTAATCATAAAAAATACCACGAATTTGCTAATTTAACCGACTTTGTAGCTCCAATAATAAGGAAGTTAGCAATGGTGGGCATATAACTTAAGTTTTAAAGATTATTGATCGGCATAACAATGGGCATATTTTTCCCAACTTAAATAACTATGTATCTAAAGATAAGCGAGATACACATGCTTGGCCTCAAAAAAACGGACACCCTACATAGGTATAAATATGAGTTTGGGGGGTATTTTAGCCAAAACATACATGTGAAGTGAGCAAAAAATAAAATGTCGTGGTCACGTCGGACAAATTTGGACACCCTGTATATAAATATATACCCTACTATCGTGGGGTCCGACGTGACCACGACATTTTATTTTTTGCTCACTTCACATGTATGTTTTGGCTAAAATACCCCCCAAACTCATATTTATACACAGAAAAAACGCTAGCATATCATGAATGGGTGTGCCATTAAACCAATGGGATCTTGTAATCCGTATTCCTGAATAACAATTCCTATAATACCAATAGCTAGTTAGCACTTGGTTTATATAATCGTTTACTGTTTTTAAATTAACAACAAAAGTTATCGCTTCTAAATCTATTGATATTTATATTGATATTTATTTGTTAGAATGTTAGAATGTTATTGCATTAAATACTAATTTGATTTATTTAATAACGTTACTATAGTACGGATACTATGTATACATTTAATGCAATAAATTCTTTGACATTTAGGCAAAATATTTCCCTATTTTGGTTTAATAGTAATTAATTGAGCAAATAACAATTTCGATTGCTTCAATTTTAATGCATTTAATGACAGCGCTGTTCTTGGTACTATGTTAGATTTTTTTCTGTGTACCTATGTAGGGTGTCCGTTTTTTTGAGGTCAAGCATGTGTATCTCGCTTATCTTTAGATACATAGTTAGTTAAGTTGGGAAAAATATGCCCATTGTTATGCCGATCAATAATCTTTAAAAAATTCGACTTACAATTTTCAGTTTTCGAGTTATTATAATTTTTTAAGGGAAATTTCAATCTATCAAAATCTTTTTCTTAGGTTTCAAATCTCATGAGATAACTAACTTCTAAAAACGCTACCCTGTATATAATATATAATATAAAAACAAAAAATATGCATATACAAAAAAAATTAATTATTAAATAGATAATTTTCAAGTCAATTTTTAAATATTATTAATATTATTATTGTTATTATTTAAGAACAAAGGAGGGCCTTATGTCATAAGACGACGATATGTGACAAACGTGCGGATTAAGAATCACGTTGTGACTTCAATATTGGTAAATTATGAATCTCACAATGTTTCTCCAAGTTGGAGAAACATTGGAGACTCCAACCATCACATGTGCTGCACAGTCTTGCAAAATTTGAAGTAAATTGATCAAAAGGAACACGTCTCCCTGAGGGTTTTTCTTAGTTAATTGAGGAAATTCAAAATGTTTTTGTGGATTTTTTTATTGAGCATAATTGAGGATATTATATTTAATAAAATAAAAAGCATGAAAATGGACACAAGGGGGGAAATATATTATTTTAAAAATTATAATATACCAGTATACAGTATGTCTCCGGATCGGATTGCCAATAGGAAAAACTTTTTTAGACCTGACCGAGCACGGATTTAGAATCTACGACAAAAAATTATGTTTACGTGTCCGAGCGTTTAGCTGTGATATTTCAAGAGTTGAAAATTTACCTACAGTGTTATTAATAATAATAACTTATTATACAATGAAGTCATTATATGTATGCCAGCAGTCTATTTCTAGTAGGAACTTCCACCGTTAACACAGCCAACTTATTCAATTTTTTAATTATTAATTATGTAATACCTACATTTCCAGGAAAAGAGATATAAATAGTAGGATACTACATATGATAGGAATTAAAGTAAATACTAAAAAAAACTTACACCAACTGGATCCTGTTCGACCAAAGAATTGACTAGTAGCTGGATCATAAATAAACTTACAAACTCTCTCTCGGGTACTAAGTTTGTCTTCTTGAACCTTTAAATATTGTTGAAAATTGAACAGTTCATCCTGTCTACTCATTTGTCTACTCATATGCCGCGACGGTGGTTTTTTGGAATTATTGGTGGTGGGCATTTTGAAACCGTAAGTTAGTTATCACCCGTCGCGAGATTTTTCTTATTCTAAACTTTTAAAGAAGTAGAAACACTGTTCGTTGAAAAAATTTAACTAGTGTAGAGCAGATTTAGAGACAGTAGGAGGGCCCGGATATTACCGATTTGAAATGTGAATAAATACATCCTAGTCAGCAGTACTCAACAAAATTGCCATTGTTGAAAACATTTAAGTAATTTATTTTATATTGTGTAGCCAGTCATACTCGCGTTAGATTAAGTTAAGCATTGTAACACCAACACAAGCAATTTTCCTTTTCTGCAAAACTTTTTATAGTTTAAATAATTAAAAACAATATTAAATAATTTAAATATTATAAAAAATAAAAATAAAATTCAATTTTAAAAACTACTCGTCGTAATATTTTCGGAACACCCTGTTTATTTTAATAATCAATTCGTATAATCGAAATATCATACGAGTTATTTTTAGTGAATGATAATTTTGATTTTATTATTTAGAAAGATCATGTTCATTTTATTTTTTAACATTTATATTTTGTAGCTTTTCTACAAAACTAAAAAAAAATTATAATGAAACTAAGCAAATTGGTTAAAAAAATACAATCTACATTTGTTGAATCAATCCGGCTTCTTCTGGAATAAGTTGGTAATCATATCAGCAGAGGCGGATTTGATTACATGCGCCCTCTGCTCTGATATGCCGACCCATAGATAACCGTATTGTAAATATGGTCGGCATAATACATATGTCGGGCATATCAAAGCAGCAATAAGTTAATGAGACCAGTGCTGGATTCAGGCCTAGGCCTGATATGCCGGACCTAGGGCGGCACAATTTTGGGGGCGCACAGTGTTTCAATTCTGGAAAATATCGGGAAAACCTCAAAAATTGACTTTTTTGTCCAGGTAAATTTTTTGAATTAGATGGGTAGTTAATACCTGTCTTCATTGAAAAAAAAATTATATAAAATACGTATATTATTTTGTCTTGTACATCAGTTTAAATTTGACGCTTTTAGTTGAAGGTACTTTACACGCGATCGCTGCGGAAAATTGTTTAAAAGTGAATAACTTGTGTTTGGTGTGTCCGATTGTTATGCGGTTTGATGAAGGGTGATCTTCAAAGTATCATATGTATATGTTTTTCGTAGATTTTGCTTGTACAACGGGTTATTGTAACCAACAAGATCGGTCTGTTAAAATCGCAAAATTTGAATCGAGCTTTTAGAACAATGGAGCTACAAAAATTGTAATGAATTGTAAGACATCAGTTCAAGATCAAGCCATCAATAAATTATCTGCCCCAACTTGCCCCCGGCTCTTTAAAACTACATGTTCTTGGGCGCACGGTTGTGGTAAAAAACCTCGCGATTTTAAGCCTATGTCGAGAGCGTATCTGTGTTTTTGCTTTACAAAATATAAGATTTTTTTTTATTTCTGGGTTGCGTTCATGACGTTTACTCGATTCACTCGAATTTAACTCAAAACGTTTATTACAACAGCGGTGTCTAGACTTTCACTTGCGTAAATCGTTCGTTACTACTAAGATATTTAACACCGATTTTACATATTTAACCCACCTCTTGTAGGTGCGTTAAAACAACTCCGCCTGCGCATTGTAGTGTGTTAATGTTATTTGTGTTGACAATTTTTTTAGCGAATTAAAAAATCGTTGCTAAAATATTAAGTATACTTAAAAGAAATAATACAAATTTCAAATACTAAATGTTATATTTAAATTTTATAAATAAATTTTGAAAGTTTCTCGGGAGAAAACGATGGAAGATGTTTTCCATTGGCTTATGGCATCTTCCGATCCGTATATTTCTAGCTTCAGAAAAATTGCTCCGAAAAAGAGCAAATATTTGTCCCGCGAAGCAATAAAACTGTTGCTATCTTCTGATGGTTTCCCATGCTCTGCTAATGATACAACGAGCGAATCCAGTGACGAAGATTGTTTAATATATATGTAGGTATTAAATAATATCATATAAATGTAATTATAATAAACTAAATTAAGCTATTTTATAAAAAGATGTTTTATTAGATTTTAAAAAGAATCTCTTACGGGTTTTTAATTAATTTCGACAATATTTGATAAAAATGTCCATCATTTTGAATTTTGGAATTCTGATTCCAGATTCATTATAAGCGACCACAAAAACCCCTGTGTGGTGATGTTCAATTAATTCCGTCAATTTTTTTTTACAGATATGTCCGCCATTTTGGATCTATAATTTTGAATTTTGTAACTATGATTCCAGATTCGTTATCAGCGATCCCAAAAACCCTGTATGGTGATTTTCAATTTATTCTGTCAATTTTTTGACAAATATGTCCGCCATTTTAGATCTACCATTTTGAATTTTGGAATTCTGATTCCAGATTCGTCATCAGCGACCCCAAAAACCTCCTTATACGGATTTTTAGGAGAATACGACTACTCCTTGATATTTTGCCGAAAATTTCGAGAATTGAAACATGTGGGGCGGCAAAATTTTGTAGGCAACTAAAATTTTTAAAGGTTTTAAATGCTAGGTATGGTAGGCGTTTAAAAATAATCTTTGTCCCGCGAAGCAATAAAACTGTTGCTATCTTCCGATGGTTTCCCATGCTCTGCTAATGATACAACGAGCGAATCCAGTGACGGAGATTGTTTAATATATATGTAGGTATTAAATAATATCATATAAATGTAATTATAATAAACTAAATTAAGCTATTTTATAAAAAGATGTTTTATTACATTTTATATTACATTTTAAAAAGAACCTCTTACGGGTTTTTAATTAATTTCGACAATATTTGATAAAAATGTCCGCCATTTGAGGTCCACCATTTTGAATTTTGGAATTCTGGTTCCAGATTCATTATAAGCGACCACAAAAACCCCTGTGTGGTGATTTTCAATTAATTCCGTCAATTTTTTTTTACAAATATCTATGTCCGCCATTTTGGATCTATAATTTTGAATTTTGGAATTCTGATTCCAGATTCGTTATCAGCGACCCCAAAAACCCTGTATGGTGATTTTCAATTTATTCCGTCAATTTTTTGACAAATATGTCCGCCATTTTGGATCTATCATTTTGAATTTTGGAATTCCAGATTCGTTATCAGTGACCCCAAAAACCTCTATATACGGATTTTTAGGAGAATCCGACTACTTCTTGATATTTTGCCAAAAATTTCAAGAATTGAAACATGTGGGGCGGCAAAATTTTGTAGGCAACTAAAATTTTAAAAGGTTTTAAATGCTAGGTATGGTAGACGTTTAAAAATATTTTATTTAAAGTATTTACATTTCAAATTTTGTTATAAGGCCGAAAACTTATCCACTAAGCTATAGCTTAGGTACTAAGTTTTACCTCTGCACGATCCCGAAAAAGCTAGCCAAAAGTCGGTAAAAATAAAGTCTGAATGTATTGTTTGATACATAGGGCAATAGTACACATAATTCCAAAGAGCCGATAAGCTGAATCTGTTTTCTGATATTTTACGTGAGCCGAAACTCTCCAATGATCGAGATTGCCGCGTCTCGAAAGTAATATTATGCACTAAATTATTAGGTGCATTCAAGTTAATTCAGTTTTTAATTAAAGTGCACACACACACATGTTTGTTTCCGATTTATCTTGATGAAGGATAACGATTTTAAGTTTTTTTCAATAAGTCGCCCATTTTGGATTTTCCATTACATATTTTTAAAATACATCCTCAAAATCGTAATCGGCGACCTCAAAATCTGAAGTATAGTAATTTCCAATCAAATATAAAACTTTAACGACCTTTGACAAGCGGGACCACTGTGCGTTGTAGGTACTGCATTGTTACAAATCAGAAATACAAATTGGGCTGTTAAAAATACGTTAAAGCGTATAGGTATAGATTTTAAAACTCACAGTAGCTTAGTGAATAAGTTTTAGGCCTAGAGTACTTTAAAGTTAAGAATTACTAAAAGTATTGTAGTTTATGTTGACTTACCCTCGTTTAAAATAGTTAAAAACTGCATCTTCTTTCTTATTAATCGAATTAAAAATTAAAACAAACTTAAACAATTGTACAAATTAATAATTTAAATTAAAATTACCGGATATATTTATAGCAACAATTTTCTTTAATTTTAATTTACAAGAAAACAAAATTCTGCTAAATTTTAGAAAAAAATATTTACGAAAAATGGTAGGTATACAATTAATTATAATTATGAAGATTCCACAATATTACTTATTTAGGACAACGCTTAAACAAATTTATATAGGCGCCATCAAAATTTTGCGGGAGGGCGCACGCATGCCTAGGAATCCTAGAAAATTGATCGCCCTATCTAAACCGGGAAATGTTAGGGATTTTATTTTGTCAAGGGAATGCCAGTGACATTTTTCCAGAGTCAGGAAATTTATATTCATTACTAAATATTAGCACAAGAGAGTGAGAATATATTTAGCAATAGACACTCGAAGTTCGATTTTTTGGTAAAGTAGCTATAGCTACTTTACTCATATATGACCTAATTATACTAAAAAAATAATAATTATACATATTCATAAAGATATTTAATTTAAAAAGTATGTTTTTAACAAAATAAAATATTTTTTTAGCGGTTTGTTTTAAGTGCAAATAGCAATTTTTATTTAATTGCGTTAACATTTTAACACAATAAAGTAATTAACTTTTGAAAATTTTATTAAATCGGACAAAAAACGATTTTATTTTTAAAGCCCGTATTACAGTCTGCAATTTTACTTGCAGCAATTTTTCTTTCATGCAAGTTTTATTGCTGACTGTAATACACTTTGCAATTCCAATTCCAATTTGTATGATGCCAAGTTTACCAACCGAAGAAAAATATTAAAATATTAAAATATAAAATATTGTAAAGTACAATTAAAATTAAACTTAGCTCCTGCCTATGAGGCGCCGTTTGTGCCATAATTAATCTTTCCTATATATATTTAATTTTGCATATTTATGTATTTTTACAATATAAATATATATTTATTTCATATATTTATACATGTTTTCTATATATATATTTATTTTTATAAATATATATATATATAAATAAATAA